AAGGGTGAGGTAAACTCACTTGTTAAAGGATAGCTGAGAAGAAGGGTGAGGTAAACTCACTTGTTAAAAGATAGCTAAGGAGGAGGGTGAGGTAAGCTCACTTCGTAAAGGATAGGCGTACCCACGGGTTTCTTACTAGGGTGCCTTCCCGTCCGATCTCGTCCCGTGGCAATTATGAATTCAGACGTCGTTGCTCAACACGGAAGGTATTTTTTCACTGTTATCACTCGTGACACAAACAGCATGGTTTGTATTCGTGATACAAGGTAATAGTAGAATTTCTCTCCCGATATACAGTAATTATTCTATGGCGATAACGCCAATGCCAATAACTAAAATGAACAGATGACAAATTGAATACAAAACCTAGGACGAGGGCATGAAACGAACTATCTACACATAAGTCTGCATAACATCACAGGAGAAATTATTCATATATATACCCAGAGCATCTCTGACTAGTTACTGCGTGCAGTAATGGATTTTATTTAGCTATATATTGCACGTGATTCTGTTGCATGCATCAACACAATCATGTGTCTTAAGAAAACGTGAGCGTAATCGGGTGTTATCGATGTTCTTTTGTACGCTTTGAGCAAGCATTCAATTCGACGTAGAAACGCAAACATGATAGAAGAGCATGCTTTTCCAATGATACCCAAATTCTACGGAAGGTGTTTAGGTACTTTAAGTGTGGGGTTGGATGCTGCATATAATGAAAGTGTCAACGATACTGCAGCTCACCTTGGGTGTGATAGAAGAGGGAGGGGGGATATATAAAGCAAGAGTATATATGGGAGAATTCCCATTATATAGCATATCTCCCATTATATACTCTTGATAATGATATATGCATAAGTTTTGATACGAAAATAAATGTTTCAGATCTAAAAGTCGAGAGATGGCGATATGCCTAAATGATCGCCATTTTGGTTTTCAAATATCGCGCAAATAAAAACAATAAAATATTCCATTCAAATTACTGTAACGAAGACTCTAAAACACAGTATTACACGTATATAGGTATGATTGTAGAGTTGTTGACCAGTTAGACGAAATATATGTAATAGGACATTGTCATCTCTCTCATAGGAGTAGCTCCAAGAAACGGTCTTTGCTAGGGTTAGTAATTGACTATATTGTCTATATTGTGTATATTGACGTTAGTCACACAGCCTGGCCGGGTTACCATAGGAGTTACAACTGTTTTAGGGCTAGCCTTACACATTCACATACCAAAATTTAACAAAATCGATTGAATTTAGATGGCCATTTTCATTTTTGCCAAAAAGTGGACGTCGCTCGAATGTAGGTCAACTGGTGTGCTCCAAAATAGGACGTTCAAACCTCTCCCATAGGAGTAACAACTATATGCAATTTGAAACATGTGGGTCAAACGGTTCTTGAGTTATCGTTGACCGTAGCCAAATGTTGACGGACGGACGGACGGACGTACGACACCCCATCGCAGTAGCTCATCTTGACGATGTCAAGGCGAGCTAAAAACTGCATCAAATTTTAAGAAACTACTAAAGAGGGAGAAAATTCCATCTATTAACAGAATATATCATAGCCATATACGAAACGAGGTGGTCAATTGCACCTACTTTTTTATAAATCACTTTATGAGAGACAGAGATTGATGATAGCCTACACGTAATC